ACTGGTTTTCAGTGGCATCTGAGCTAAACTAGTGGTATAAAAGGCTGATTTACGAAGTAAAAGCAGACAGATAGATAGTTGGCAGAAAGAGATGCTCATTCACTAGCAGGAAAACAAATGAAATGCAGAGGCTGTTGGTGTCTCCCATCAAAGTCATCTTCACTGAACTGGGTGTAGGAAAAAAGAGTCAGCTTGACATTTCTGTCATACAGCTCAGCACATGTAAGAGTGAATTGATTATCTAAATTACATGGGCCTAAAAATACAATGCATATCTTCCTAGTTCTCCCAGTTTGTAGGTATTTGGTACAATTTTTTTAACACAACCTTACTGAAAACATACACAGTTCACAGTGGGAAACATAGTAGCAGCCTGCAAGAATCATTCACCAAATGCTAATAACTTAGTGAAGCATATTGAAAAATAAAAGTGGCTTTTTGTTGGATTTTTTTGGGGGAGTTGATTCTTTATTTTGGGGGGATGGCGGTGGTGGTGGTTGGTTTTTCCCCAGTTCTTATGTCAGAACAGTCCAGAATCTACACAGTCACAATCTCTCAGCTTCTTCAGCTTGCATCAACCAACCTCTAGGACTAATTAGTCTGAGACATTCAGCTACTGGACAATTATCTCACAGTCTAAAGTAGTTACTTGGACTATTAAGAAACTTTTGCATTCCTTCAATGCATAGCTTTTTTCAGAAAAGAAAAGTGTAACTAGGTTTAAAGATGTGATAAAAAAATCTGCCACTGTTGGGATTAGTTTGGAAGACTAAATCAGCTGATACCCAGCTCAAGAATTTCTGTGGGCATTGCTGTTCACCACTACAAAAGCCAAGCTCATGAAGGATAACTCTGTACTCCCTGTCGTGGTACCTCAGCTTCTAATGAATTTAGCCATCTGATCCTGCAACACCGCTCCTCAAAGTACAGCCCTCCTGAAGGTGGCATTTCTGGGAACAGCACCAAGATATGACAGCAATCACTGTATGTGTTGTTAATGCCTGTGGCTAGATTTTGTTTTTTGGAATACCTTGAGACATTGACTAATGTGCATGTTGGGCATTTCTTGTAGTGATTTACAAAGTCACAGAGCATCCAGATACATCACGGCAACTATTGCTTGAAAAATAATGTTGTCTTTGGAAGAGAGGACACCCTTCCTTCCAAAGGATATATTATGAAATAATAGAAGTTATAATACAAAGTCACCTCATACTTTGAAACAGTGCACAATCAAGTACTGGTCCCTGTTATAAGAATACAGTAAAACATAAGGCAAATTCATTTTTTGTGTGTGGTGTGTGTGCATGTGCATGTGTGTGTGTGTATGTGTTAAAAGATTACTAAACAGTTTAAGAATAAACGTATTATACTGTTAAGCTATGCCTTTGCCTAGAGCAAGACCCTTTGAATTCTCCCTTTTTGAGGAAAAAGGCAATATTCAGGGGAAAGTTTTAAGCTACGTCTACATGATCCTAATTTTTATATCTCTGATGTTAAGCCTAAGTGATCTAATAGGAATTTTTGATTCCTGAATGCTGTTAAGGCATGTCTTGCCTTCAGTATGCAAGCACCTCAGCCTCACTAATGCCAAGGGTCTGCAACTTGCAGCTCCAAGGATCTGCAGTTTGAAGCTCTGTAAGCTTTCCCCTAAGCCGTTGAGCAGTATTTTCCAGAGCCTCCATAGAAGTGGTTTGGTTTTTTTTCCTTTGATGTTCTCAAACTCTAGGTCTTGCATTGTTATTTTCACAGTCTTGCAACTGCAAATCCCATAGTTTTACTACGGTTGGCACACATGGAAATGACTACCACTACAGTAAGAATGGTGCCTCTTTTTCCCGTCCTCCTGCATCAGCTTTCCTCACCTTTTGTTCTGTAGATTTTAGTTTAAAAGAGAGCAAACAAAGAAATAGTGCACAGAAAAAGACTGTAGTCATTTAAATACTTAGTGAATATTGTCCAATAATACATTTTAATAACTAACATGCAACACTTGAACTTAAAATTACCATACTCCAATCAGCACTAAGAGCATCAAGTATTGAAACAACCAGTGGGAATTTTCATATGGTCTTTGAGTAGCAAGTGCGAGGGTAGAAGCATGTCAAAAAAATTCACCAGCTTTGTCATCGTCACTGTTTCCTCCTGCTGCATCAGAGAAAAAAAACAGAGAAATATGCTCATCAGGGACTCCCGACCATTGCCACTGCTTTTCCTGGCCTGCCACAGGGAAGAGTCTGTCCTTTTCTTTCCGCTTTCCCACTTGGTTCCTATTTTTCTTGTATTGTCTGACTAAAATAACATTAATCATTAGACCACACTAATAAAATTCTGCGTACGTAAGCCCATCTGACCTTCCTGTTGTCTAACAATACTTATGAAAATCTAGAATTATAATTATTTCCTATATCTCTAGGCTGCCAGCCCAGGAAAAAGAAAAGAGCTGAAATCAATTTACTACCTTCTAAATCATGGTGGATAGGCAAGAATGACTTCTGGCATGACTTAAGTCACATCCAGATCAGAGAACCTAGAAGCATTTCCCGTCTGAGTGCTGGAGCTATATCCTGATTCTGTACTTGAGCAAGGCTCACCTTCCTACCTTCTCTCCTTTCCAAAGAAGCCACCTTGTTCATTTTGGAAGCAGGACTGTGTGGTGCTCCAAGTTTGGGGTTTTGTCAGCCTAAATAACGGAAAACCACTTCCCCTCCTACACAACATATGACAAATCAAAACTGAATAAAAAAATAAACAGAAAAACAAGTTATTCCTTTGCTCTCCTCTCCCTTCCCAAAAAATCTATTCTCAGAAATATAGGAAAGACTCTGAAAAGCATGTAACAGTCTAGACAAGTCTGGATTCTTTATCTTTTTCTAATCTATCCTATTTATTTTTTCTGGGAAAAAAAACATGTATGGTTTTGCAAATAAAGGCAAAATATTGTTTTATTAAAAAATTAGTTCTTCAGCCAAACTTTTTTATCAATCTTCTCTAGAAAACCAGCTCCTTACTTAAAATTGAGTGCTTATTTATTCACAGAAAGTATGTACTATAAATAATGAATCCTGGAGCATGCCAGAGCAGAAAAAGAAATTGGTATAAGGTAATAAAGTATGTTGTAGTGGATTAATTTTTCTCCTCTATTTGATTTTTCATCCTCCTGTACATGAAACTTCTACCCATCTAAACACAAAGTCTGAGCATATACTAATGTTAGTATGGATTCAGAATTTAAAACATTTCCACTTGACTTTAAATTCTGATAAAACAAAATCTTCCTGTTTAACACGAATTATCTAAATGGGATGAATAAATTTAAAAGATAATCTTATCTCTAAAAATCACTTGCTTAAGTTCTATGCTTATTTATACACAGTGAAATGTGTGTCATGTTCAAGAATCTCATTTTCACCACCTCCTGTCATTCACCTCTATCCTACTCTTTAACTTTTCAGAGTCACAGTGTCAAGAAGGTTAATGCAGTTACATGAATTTGTGATGGACCATTTCACTCACATTCACTAGGGCAAACATATATGGCTGCCTGGTAAACAATTCACTCCACAGAGAATAAGCTCTTCTTAGCCGAAAAGAGACCTCTGCCAAATTAATACATTAAATGATGAGATGTTAGCTGCAAACAGAGAGGAAAAATCCTGGAACCTGACCATTTCTTTTAAGTACTAAATTAACACTTCAAGACACTGAAATATTAGGCACAGTGCCACTGAGGACAATGGTATAAACCATTGTAAAAACAGTGTTAATGAGATCTTAGTCATGCTTGTAATCTTTCAAATATACAGCTCAGAGTAAGCGAAGAAAAACAGATCTAAAAATGATGATGTGCACATTATGTCCATTTACGTTTATAGAGGAAGCTTGTTTATTAAGGATATGAAAGAAAGGCTAGTACTCTGTATACTTTGAGGAAAAACTGATTTCTTCTGGCTGCTTTATGTCTCATCAAATATTGACTATGTTAAAAGACAACATTCTGGGCTAGGAAGAGGTACACCAATTCTATTTTTTGATCAGAGGAAAGATTTGTAACTATGGAATATAACTTAGATATGAAGTAATGTTAAGGCAGCCCCTGCACAGACTCTTCATCAGCTATTACATTAGCATCTTTGAGTGATGCATATGAGTAGGATGAAGATACATTTTACCCTAATTTTCTTTCCCCCATTCCATGTATCGTGACAGAAACATCAAAACCCACATAGTTTGTTAAGCCTGCCTTTATATAATCAGAGGTAAAATTCTCCATATTCTGCATACACTTCTCTGCAAGACTAATTTCTTTGAGGAACTGCAGGAATTTGCCATACTGGAAAAAACAAATAAACAAAACTGACAAAGTAGAAAAGAAAAAGTAAATCTCAAAAAAGCTATGTGTTTTAAATTAAACAGAAAAGATAATTTATTGTGTTTCTTGGGAAAATAGGATAAAAAACAAATAAACAAACAAACTATATTAAATAGAAATATATTTGGTGATGATATTGCTGGATACAGTTTCCTTAAAAAACAATAGTGATATTCTAACAAAAAGCTTTATTTGAACAAAAAACATTTTAAAAGATTATTCAGAAGAAAACACGCTCAATTTCAGACTACAACCTACATCTACAGAGGTGCTGATGATACTAAGAATAATATTTGTACCTTAACCCATATAGTGAGCTTAATTCTAATAAATTGTACTCCCTCAGATTAAATAAAAATCTCATGTGCAAAAGCATCACCTTCTCTGGTAAATCTGCTGTGACTCTTATCTCGCTACTATAAGCTCTCCAGAATTCAGTATTTGAAATGCCACTCCTTTTAGTACTTTACTTTGTATGCTCCAGTATGTCTACTGTCCCTACATGTCACTCCTGCATTCATAGAATCATAGAATGGCCTAGGCTGGAAGGGACCTTAGAGATCATTTAATCCAATCTCCCTGTCACGGGCAAGGACGCCACCTCTCGACTAGATCAGGCAACACATGGGGTCCGAGCGGGGATTGAACCCGCGGCCTTGGTGTTCTCAGCACCACGCTCTAACCGACTGAGCTAAACGGCCTCCTGCATTATCATAGGTTCTTTCAGGAGTGTCCTGTACCCATTTTGAGAGTCTACCAAAACTAACTTCTTACCTTGTCCCATTCTCTCTTCTCCATTATTTATTTTTTGTTTTTTCTGCAAAAGACAGTCATGTCAGCCTTCCTTTGAAACTGGCAATCTATCTGCAACTCATTGCCTGTTTACAGTCTTTGACAACTATAGGCATCTTGAGGCTATGAGAAGTAAGAGACGGAAAACACCACATCCAGTTACAGACCACAAATAACAAAGGTCATTTAAGAGGCATCCTCATCGTGCACAGAGGAAAAGGTAAGAACTGAAATAAGCAGTCTCCTCATTTTAGACATAATTATGCTCAGTGCTTAGCTTTCAGGCCTTAAGAAGTAGAAGTGGCATTACAAATGTTATCAGTGCTATTAAGAAACCCATAAATTGTCTTCCAAAAGGGAACTTGGCCATATTTCCACCATCTTTATTGATGCTCCTTGCTCCAGACACTATCTTTTCCAACTTTTTATGTTTTAGTTCTTCTTGAATAAACCAGCTCTAATGTTTCAGAAAGCAGTGAAGTATCAAGCCTAACCAAATGGCCACCCTATCAGGGTAAACAGAAACTGAAATTTACCAGAGAAGGATGTTTCTGCAAAGTGTTATGCTCCAGTGATCATTTACTCATGTACCAAATGCAAGATTTATTTAGCTTTCCACTCTTAGCTAACAGCTAAGAGAATTCAACACACTACTACCACTATTCCAGCTGCTCCCAACTCCTGTCCTTTCTACCTCATTGCTAATATAACTTCTACATATCTAATGTAATTTCTATTGCCAGAACGAGAAATACTCCACAAAAGGCACTCAGATTCAGCCTAACAGAACAGCTAATGCAAAAAACCCAACAGATAATGAGGTTTTTGCTTTAGTTATTGAAGCCATCATCATCATATTGACCAGTATTACACCTTTAATAAGCCATGAATAGAAGAAAGCACTTCCATTCCACAGGATCTGGGATGCTAAGACAAATTACAAAGTTACAGGAAAAGAAGAAACAGACACACACACACAAAAAATCAACCTTGCAGGAAAGTCAGAAATACAGAAAACGAAATATTCTAACTACATGTTCTAACTTCAGTTTTCTGAAGCCAAAATCTTAGAAGAGACAGATTTTGGCAGGAGGACAGTTCACTAGGACATCTTTATTTCCACAGCAAACAAGGAAAAGAAAACACAGACCTACAATTCTGAGGAAAAATACAAATTTGCTATAGTAGCGCAAATGAAGATGGGGTATCTCTTTTAGTGAGGAACTACTTTTGCTTGTGCTTGGATGCCAGTCCATGACCATAACAACTGAATGTAAGATAACGGGGCATGCTAACTGCACCATTAACCCACTGCATTTCAGTAACATCTCACCTCTGTATGAAATCAGGGCAGACAAATCAACACAGCATGCCTTTAGCAGTCACATAGTACAAAACTCTTACTGGTCCTTCTGATTTACTCTGTTCTTCAAATATAAGTGCTGGCTGGCCTGCAATATCAAATTCCTAAAGCACCATATCTGAAACATCTATATGTAAAGATGACATCAAACTAATATAAACACTAAACATTTATCTTCAAAAATCATAATTCAAACACAGTTCAGCTAGAAGATTTTGAGAAAAAGATAGAAAAAATGTAAGATTAAACAAAGAAATGTCTTTATAACTGTTGACCTGCTTACACTGAAGCAGTAAGTCCATCTATCCTGCACTATAACCTGTGCACCTGAACTAAAGCAAAGACTTATCACAATGAGCATGAAATTAATACACTAGCTCTTCCCTAAGGAGATCTCCTCCAGCTCCATGATTAATTTCCAGTTATGCCAACTGCTATTATTTAATCTGTCAAAACCAGTGGATCTGCATCATCTGTCCCCTCATTCAACACCTGCACATTGGAAAGCACACACACTGAACATTTCTAATTTGGGCAGCAGACCTACTGCTGGCTGCGTTAATAAAAATTCACAGCCGCGGGCACCACAGCTCATCTGTCCAGCTGTGCATAATTTGCAGAAAGTTCTACTTCCCTCTCAATCCACTGTGCACTGAGAGCTTATCTTTGCTTTCATGTAGATGGTGCAAAATGCAGTAGGTAGACATTATAATAATTACATTAGTGATAGAGATATATTTGGCTTAGGAGACTCCAGCCAACAAATCAGTGACTATGTACTTGATGGAGAAGTAATACTGATTGATGACTGTTGCTTTGAAATACTGCATTGAACTATCTGCTCTAAAGTTTGTGTGGTGTACATCTCATACAGCAATAACTCACTAGCTGCTTCCTCTGGTTGTTGCTGTAATCTTTATTTTTTAATTTTTATTTGCTTGAGACATCCCATGAAAAGCACATACAGTCCTATTACCTTACAAACTTCAGAGACTTTTTGCAATGGCAGATGTACCAAAGATTTACATGGGCTTCACCTCTTCTTCCATAATTCATTTAGAATATAGTAGAGGATTTTTGCCCTTTTTTGTCACAATCACCTACAAAATAACACTGAAATATATGATCCAAAAACAGTACAACTGAACATCCAGGGAGATAACAAACATAACACAACATTAACATAACAACGTAACACATAACATGTTACAAAGCTAGTTTGGAGATAAGGCAAAAACTGTCTCCTCAGCACAACCACAGATAATGAGACGACTGCACAGAAAGGTACAAAAACTGGATGTGTGCACTCCATCAGTTTGGTTACTAACAAATACCCATATTCTGTTGCAAAACAAATCCAAGAAACTTCAAGAAGAAAATGCAGAAAGTTTGTACAACCAATTGTCTTTACAAACACAGTCACCAACAGAACTTGAATTGAGCCAGTATACGTTCTTGTACCATTCAAGATACTTTTCTAGTGTGTATAAACATCCACACCTCTAACATGCTCTTCGAGGAAAGGATGGAGGTGCATTATTTCTCAGAGCCTACTGCTTTATTTCTCAAGCAAAGGTTTGAAGGCAATTTCATTAGCAGAATTTAATATGAAGTTGGGAGAAAACTTTTAACCTGTATGATATTGCCAGTTCTATGCAAATACACTAAATTCTACTCAAATACTACTCACTTACAGGACCTAAAAAAAGCCTTTTGAAATAAAGAGGAATCTTCGCACTGAATCCAGCAAGACCTTGTCCCATGACACTGATCTGTCTATGACCTGTAAATTTCAGCCTTATTACACAAGTCTGTTAATATTAATGGTTTATGTTATATCCAGTAAGAAAACAAGTAAAAATTTATTGTATGTTAGACAGCATATGGCTTATATCTTACTTAGTCCCATATGAAAATTATACTAAATTTGTTTATTTGAAAAGAAAGATCTGGAAGCTGTTCATAGTATTTTAAAAAAAAAGTAGAATCATATTTCATATAAGTATATTCCCTATATAATTTTCAGGAAAATTATTTGTATATGCCTATGTGCTTGAAAGAGATATTTTATGGATAGGTGTTATAGATTGGCAGACTAAAGTAAATAAAGTAGTAAAGAGAAAGGAAAAGAACTTTTATTTATTTTTGAAAGAGAATTTTTAAATTAATAATTATACTACTGAAAAATTTGAAGTAATTCCCTGCTCTTTTAAATAGCAGAATTCTGCACAGTGTATGCAAACAACTTTATTTAGCATTAAAAAAAAACCTGCTAGCACATCTATATTGCAAGTCTAAGGTTTATGGAAATCCTAAAAATTAAGTCTAAAATCAGGATTACAAAAGTCAGTAAAAAATGAAGATACAGAAATAAACAGGAATAGTCTGAATCCATTCTGAAATTAGACTATCAGCTTTGTCCTTGTTTTATTATATTTTGATGGACAGGAAGTAGGGCTTTTATATATCAGAACTCAAAAGTATGACACATAATGTACCATTTGTTTATTGGAATAGAACAAATGAGTATTTGGAGCTCACTACTGCACAGTCTGTTTTGGAATTAAAAAAAAACACTAATGAGAAGAGTTACTGAAGTTCATCCACTTACTTTCCACCCGAGTTCAAAACCACAAAAGAAACTCAGTTATAGAAAATATAGCTAATTTATATGAGTCCTCTTCATAGTATATCCAAACATTTTTTTTGAAAGACGACATGTTACCATTAAACTGACTATTCTTTCACCAAGGGTCCAAACTGACTTCAAAACATAAAGAGGCTTGACAGTGGGCCCAGAGGTATCTGCCATCACAAGATCACCTCATGATGGCACTGATCAACATGGCTGGTCACTCTCTCATGAAAAGACCATAAACTTGACAGCAACTCTACAGAGCACAGTCCCAGGAGTTTGAAAATCTGTCCCTTCCAGGTCTCTACTGGGCCTACAGCTGACGCAGCCACTACAGTAACAGGCATGTGCATAATAATCAAGCAATTAGACCACTTCAAGCAATGGTTCAAAATAATCAAGCCGTCAGACCACTTCAAAAAACACTTTGGGACAGAAACCCTATTCATGACTGTCCCCTTCCATTTCTGGCTGCACTAGATCTCTCCTAAATGACAGTGACTGCCCTCACTTGCAGGACAAAGGAAAGGTCTTACCTCGGGACTCAATTGCACTGAGAAGCAATAAGCTATATATTTTTGTCTACTGTACTCAATAGATGCAAATCTGAAAGATGCTGTTAGATGGAAGTTCACTACCATCAAAACATGTCACTGCTATTTCATGTGTCATCTATTATGGTGAAATATTGAATTGACTTAATCTCAAGAATTTGTAATTTATTTTTTTTAAATAAATTCATATACAAGTAAATTAAAAATTCATTCATTCTATATATGAAATCATGACAGCCACTGCAGAATTAGTTACAACTGACTGCTGACTAGTCCAGGAAGAAAACTAAATATTTTGTTCTCCAAATCTCTTCTACACTATTATGAAAATAATACATTCTAATGAAAGTATCATCC